AACCTTTTAGAGACCAAGTGCCAAACTGCAACCCAAAACCCACTTATTTATTGCAAAGTGCTGTGTTTGTCTGGCTTTCTAGTAACGAACTCTGGTGAACTCTGTGCGGGGACGATGATGCACATACCCACGGAGAGGGCTCTGAGTGCCACCTCTGGCACACATGCCATAGCTTCACCACCACTGTCCTATGGAATCCTGGGATTTGTAGTTTGTTGTGACACCAGAGCTCTCTGACAGAGAAAGCTAAATATCTTATGAAACTTCATATGCTAGAATTCCATAGCGCTGAGCATGGTAGTTAAAATGGTGTCAAACTGCATTAACTTTGTAGTGCAGACGCAGCCCAGGCTTGCCCAGGTTCTCATTTGACAGATACTGTAAAGCTGGAAAGGTGCAGAAAAAAGCAACCAAAATGATCAAGGAACTGGGACTTTTCTCCTATAAGGAATGGTTATAATTTGAGACACTTTAGCTTGGGGGGGGGGGACGACAGAGGAAAGTGTGTGGAAAGAAATTAGACAAATGCGTGGAGGATAGAGCCATCAATATCTGCTACTCGTGATGACCAGATATTAGTTTTGGTATCTGGGGCATATCACTTGCTGGGAAATGTGAAACAAAGAGTGCTTTTGCACTCATGTCTTGCTGGGGAACATCCCATAGCCAACTGTTTGACCACAGTTGGAACAGAATGTCTGTCTAGCTTGGCCTTAGGCTCTTCTTATGTTCATATTTCATGCTTCTCCGGATGTTGTAGTGCAGTTCTCATTGTGGGAGCAATACCAGAATGTGTTAAAAGTTCTGTATTTTTAGAGGAAATAAATTTAAATTAAAAATAGATTAAGGTAGAAATGGAACCGATTTCACAAATGAACACATGGACTGGAAGGATATCACCTGTTCAACAGTGTGTTTAGAGACAGTTTAGGGCAGTGATTCCCAAACTGGGTGTCAGGCCCCCCTGGGGGCAGTGGAAAGATCCAGGGGGGCAGTGAGGAGGAAAGGGGCATCAGGGAGGCCTTCAGTCAAAGTATTGGTGTGCAAGAAAGACAAAGGGAACCACTAACCTTTAGGACCACGGCGGGGATGAGGAGCTAGAGCACATGGTGGTGGGGAAGAAGCAACAGCAAAAAGGAGCTTTCATATTTGAGACTCTGCTTAAGCTTTGTGAGCTTTGCCAGAACTTGGCTGGCAAGTTGGAGCTGTGCTGCTGCTCCTGCTTTCTTTTGTCGGACAGGCCAAGAGAAGAGGTAGCAAAAGAAACAACAGGATGGTGTGAAGCTGTGTGGGGAAGGCACAGCTCTGGGGAAGGATAGGGAGGAGTATCTAGGGTTGGTTCTTCAGCACTCTTAGATGGAGAGTTCTTCTTCGCTAGGGAGAAAAGTTTGAAGATGACTGCACTCCTCTCTGCCCCGGTGAAGAAGGATTGAGGATCTTCCTCCCTAGGGAGAAGCTATGCTGCTGGCAGAAATACTGCTGATAGAGACTCCCACGTCAGAGAGGCTTTTGTTGAGGAACCTGACTAAATGTGTCATGCAACTATTGGACAGCAGCGGTAGTGGAGATATGACCGCTACAAAGATGTGTCATTGAATTCTATAGTCAGTATGGTTATGACATCTGGACAGTGAAGAAAGAAAGCTGTCAGGAAGAGAATAGACTCCTTTGAAATGTGGGGCTGGAGGAGAGTTCAGCAGATACTGTGGACTGCCAAAATGATGAATAAATGAGTCCTAGTGCAAATCGAACCTGAATTCTCCCTAGAAACCAGAATGAGTGAACTGAGCCTGAATGATTCTACTTCGGCAGTATCATAAGATGATATGATTCATTAGAAAAGTTGACAGGTGTGGTAAAGTGGGAGGCAATAGTAAAA